ACTCTGCTTTTCTCTTGCTGACTTGCTGCCTTTAGGTTTCTCTCTTTGCCTTCAACCTTTGGTATTTTAATTATGATGTGTCTTGATGTGGTCCTCTTTGGGTCCAACTTGTTTGGGACCCTCTCTGCTTCCTGGACTTGTGTATCTATTTCTTTCGCCAAATTAGGGAATTTTTTTTCATTATTTTTTCAAATAAGTTTTCAACTTCTTTCTCTTCCTCATCTCCTTCTGGCATACTTACGATTCAGGTATGGGTACTTCAGGAGATGTCCCAGAGTCTTCTTATACTCTCCTCGTTTTTTTAGAATTCTTGTTTCTTCTTTCTGTTCTGGGTGAATGTTTATATCTTCCTTATGTTCCAGATCATTGATTTGAACCCCCGCTTCCTTCCTTTCACTGTTGGTTCCCTGTGGATCTTTCTTTATTTCACAGTGTAACCTTTATTTATTCCCTTATGTTTTTGCTGAACTCAGTGAGGTCTCTGAGCATCTTGATCACCAGTGTTTTGACCTCTGCACCTAATAGGTTGGTTATCTCTGTCTCGTTTAGTGTTTTTTCTGGGTTTTGTTCTGTTCTTTCATTTGAGCCATATTTCTTTGTCTCCTCAATTTGGCAGTCTCCTTGTATTTGTTTATTTGTAATATGTTTTGAAATTGGAAAAATATGAGACCTACAGCTTTGTTCTTCTTTTTCAAAATTGCTTTGACTATGCAGTGTCCCTTGTGATTCCATATGAATTTTAGGATTGCTTCTTCTATTTTTGTGAAAAAAAAATACTATTAGAATTTTGATAGGGATTGCACTGAATCTGTAGATTGCTTTGGTAATTTGCAATATTAGGTAGAGCTGCTTTGACCCTGTCCGAGCATACTTGTTAAGTTGTACGGGGCGGAGCCTTAGGTATTTGCCCGGGCAGGACAACTGCTTCACTGCTCTGTGGCTCCGTGTGGTGGGCAGGGTCCGAGAGGGGACAATGCTGCTGCCTGGCTTCTGGAGGTTTGCCTGGCCTTTGCCCTGATTCCAATCACATCACCCACTTCCCATATGTGACTGGTGCCCTTCTGGCTGTTGCTCTGATGGTGATTCCCAGAGTGGGTGGGTTTGCGTACATTCTAAGTCTGTGTGGACTCTTTAATTGGCCTTTCCCGAGAAACCTGCAGTTTCTTCTGCTGCCCAATCCCCAATGGTTTTTACAGCCAAAAGTTGTGACGCTTTATCTTCCTGGTGCTGGAACCTTGGGCTGCGCAGCTTGGTCTGGGGCTGGGATTACTCACTCCCAAGGTATCCTTCCCGATTTTTATCCAGCGCACCTGAATGTAGGACCGTCCATTTTGCCACTGCTGCCACATTTCGGCCCACACCACATCCTCTCTGCCCCTGCTCTGTGCCTCTGCCCCTCCTACCCGTCTGGATCAGTGTGGCTTCTTTAAATATTTGGTTGTCAGACTTCCATACAGTTAGATTTTCTGGCAGTTATGGGGGTTTTCTGTTTTGAGGTTAGTTGTAATTTTTCTTGTGGTTGCATGAGGAAGCAAAGCATGTCTACCTATGCCTCCGTCTTGACTGGTGATCTCCTTTTAATAAAACTTGACCTGTCTTCTTAGGCACTTGTTAGGTCATGGGTACCCTAATCTGATAAATAAATTCAAACTTAGTTATACATGATTTATTGGTTTATCCTTCCCACATATTGACCATGAGTACAATATTTTAATCTAAAGGTATGTGTAAGAACGTCATAGGGACCGAGCTGCTGCAGGTGAAATATTTAAAAATAAATATTTAAAAAATTGTAAACTGTAACACTAGATTGCTCTATCTAGCACAAAGCCTGTCCCTGACCCCCTTTTTCTGACCAGCATTTGGACAGAATCACATCCGTTACCAGGCCTAAACACAAGTAGTCATTATTGGAAAAGCTCTCTGAAATTATAACTTCAGTGAAAAGACATCATTTTATATTTCATCACATGACATACACAACTTCAGTGACTGAGAAAATAACTGTTTAGGAGGAAGTGCAATAGTAAGGGAATGGGACTTTTTGGTCACTTACCATATACTAGAAGGTTTGCAAACACATTTCATTTAATCCTTTTCAAGCTCTATGAGGTAGATGTTTGTCCCACTTTGCATATGAGGAAATTAAAGCTCAGGGAAGCAGAGCCCAAGGTTCCTCCCAGTGTGAGCGTGGATGTGAAGGTGCGTCTGCTGGAAGCCTGCCCTTTTCCCTTTCCATGCCAGGCGGCCAGCCAGGGGAGCCGGGGGTGGGTGAGAGAGGCGGCGATGAGATGTTGAATGACAAGCTTCCCTGTCCAGGGAGGCTTCCTGGGAGGGGCGAGGTCGAAGAAACTGCTTAATATCCCCGAAGTGGAAAATCTCCAGCCATCTCCAAATTTACAGCCAGAAATCAAGTTCAAGTTAGGGTGAAATTAATCTTATGGGCTACTGAACTGTCCTCAGGTGCATCTTGTGGTCTTCACACTCACTGAATAGGTTCTCCAGGGGTGGGCCTGGGCGCCTGCGCACGGCTTCAGAAGTGGGGAGGGAGGGCTTCCACATGATTTTCCTCAGGACACTGGGGACACTGCTTTGGTGGTCACAAGATAGGCTGAGAGACTTCAAGATGTCCTCAAGTGTTCAAAGATCCTGCTCTTTTCCCCTGATGCGTGCTCAGTGTCATTCTGCCCTCCTGGGAACTTTAGGACCTGAGATTCTCTGGCTTTTCAGCTCCTGATGTATTTATTATTAACCAAAGCCTGCCTTATGCCTGACCATGGCAATTAGTGAGAGGTCTTAAAAAAAATTAAAGACAATCAAATGCATTTCAGGGTAAAGAGTATAAAAGTCATGAGCCCTAAAGGTTTTATCGTTGGCATGGAATTCTGCCATGTGCCTGAGTTTGATTACATTATCATCTGGCATCTCGCTGTTGATTTATTAAAACTGTATCTAAAAATGGACGTAATCTTTTGTCTTGATAGCAGATCTTTCTGTTATGACAAAACTCCCTCGGGAAGGCTCGTCATGAATGGTTTTCTTTTTCCCCTTGTGGTTCTTATCCCCGTGTCCCTACAGTACAAATAACTGGAGAGGGTGACAACTCACAAAGACACACACACCCGCCAGGGCCACTGCTGGCCCACTTTCCTGGCAGCCAGTCTCAGCAAAAGCCTTCTCTGCTTTTGCTTCCCTCCCACCATGGCCAGATACTGTGGGATGAGCCTTCTGGTTTGTAATGGGTGGTAAAGTCCACAGCAATTTCCTGTTGGTACAGGGCTTATGTGGGGCAGGGTTCAGCCCCTGAGCATAGGTTCTGGAACATCCTCTGAGCAATTTTTTTTTTTTTTTTTTTTTTTTTTTTGCTTTTAAAGGAAAAAAAAAAAACTTCCTTAGTATTGTTACGCTCATTGGGGTGGCCATGATTTTATCAAAATTCAGTAACAGGCAGATAATAGACGTTTTTCTGACTCTTACCTCCCATCCTTTGCACTCCCCCTCCTCCCCTTTATGTCTTTTAGCGGAGGAAGAAGACACACACTGCTATCCCTCCCGTGCTGCACCCGATTCTTTTTTGGCAGCTGGTGACCATCAGGAAAATCTGATGAACTTGAAAGGGTCGTTTCCCCGATGACTTCCAGAGCTGGAGAAATTATTTCATGCTAACTTTATCCATGGGATCGAAGGAGGGGAGAGTGCGCTCCCAAGCACGAACGGGAAAGCCTTACATCACGGAGTGGCGGAGTGGCGTGGGGAGGAGTCTAGGGCGCCCTCCTCGCGGCTCGCTCGCTGCGCTCCCTTTGTGGCCGGAGTCGCGCGCACCGGAGGCGGCGGCACAGCGCGCGTCTGTGCTCCGAGCGGCGGCCGCGCAGACCGGGGGCCTGGGGCGCCGCGGGCTGAACCGCGCCGAGACCGCGTTGGCCTGGGAGCCGGGCGCGTCATGCCGCGTCCCCGTACCGAAGGGAAAACTGAGAATGAAATTGCTTTGGCAAGCTAAAATGGTAACGAGAACTCTCTGCCTTCTCCCGAGGCTTCTCTTGTGGGGAATCTTCTCCCGCTTTCTCTGGGCGTGTTTTGGACTCACTCGGAGTGAACGGAGCAATCCGGTCCCATACTTGTGAGCTGAGGCTTTCTCATCCTGCTTTGTATGCCTTCCGCGCTGCGTGTATTCTCCCTTTCAGCGATACCTACTTTCTCAGCCCTTGCCGTTGATGTGCCTGGGGCAGCTGTATGTCAAGGGAGGAAAACTTTTAAGGAAAAAGGACTGTTGGTCTGGGTGAACCGCGGAGCGCTTCTGTGCCCCAGCGGCTCTCTAACACACTTAAAGTTTAGCTGGGGACATGGAAATGCAGGGAGTCCAGGCACACGCGTTCCTTGAAGTTGCATGATGTGTTGCTTTTTCTGCCCTTGCCAGGTGATTTTATGGAAATGAAAACTTTCCACACACCACCCCCCTCGCCCCAGCCCCGCTAACTTTTTGGGTCCCTAAACAATAAGAGGAGAAAAAGACACGGGAAGCATTTGACTTCCTAAAGAGTGAGGACTCTTGGCATTTTAACTGCTTGTTTGTGTCTGAGTTTAAAATGTAGTTCGCTCAAATAACTGAGTCACTTATAAAAGTACAAACTTTTTCTACCAATGAATTATTTTTCTTTCCCTTAAGGAGGAAAGCTTAATCAGGACTAAACCACAGTTTCTTTAAGGGGAAAAAAAAAGACTTTAAAAATTATTTAAGATATGTGAGTGAGTCTAGGAAAAATAACTAAATGGAAAAGTCCAGGGATCCTGATACCACAGGAAAGGGCTGGGGGCCAAGAAAACCTCAGCATTCCCTTTATCGCCGTGTGTCTTGTATCGCTCTGATTGTAATATTTATTTTGAACAGCCCGTCTTTTGCCTTGAGTGCTGGGGTAAGCAGCAAAGCAGCTGGGAGAGATTGTGGTTTGCAGAGAGGGGGAAAAAAACCTTTTTCTTTTCTTTTTTTTCCCATCCCCTGGCAGAGCTCGATTCAGGACTGGGGTGAAGAGGTAGAGGAAGGAGCCGTTTACCATGTCACCCTGAAAAGAGTCCAGATTCAACAGGCTGCCAATAAAGGAGCAAGATGGCTAGGGGTGAGTAAAGCTGCAGATATTGTGAACTTTGGAGTTCAGTGTCTGTTGTTCTGTGAATATCATTATCATTTAGCAGAGGCAGGCTTCTCCCCCGCCCCCCCCACCCCCCACCCCCGCCCCTCTTCTCTTCCAGCCTTAAAAAGAAACTGCCAAAGACCAAGTATTTGCACTAGCTGTTCAGGTCTGTTTTTGTACTTAATGTTTTCCAAAGCATCTTGCCTGGGTTCGTCAATAATTCAGAGCCTCTTAGAAACATCTTGAGGTATTTGGCAAATAGAGGGGGGTGGTGGAGGGGCGGAAGGTGACACAGAGTAGCGGGACCAGAAAGCAGCACTCAGACAAGAGCATAAGCAGCGTTGCCCAGATGACCCCCCTTTCTCTCCCGGTCCTCCCCCTTCTGATGCTGGCAGCCCCTCTCCTACTCCTGGACTTCTATGAAGTACCCAGAATGCTCAGGGGACAGACCATCCCAAATCTGCTTCCTGTGGGGGTGGCAGATTTCCCATTGTTACCTCCGTTCTGCAGCCCAGGAGGAGGCAGATGCGGCTCCGTGCCCACAGCTGCGCGTATAGGGCGCGCAGAGCGCTGGGCTTTTAGAGATGCGCTGTCTCCATTAGCGGGACTTTATGGCACTGAGATTCTAAAATCTTAGGTGCGATCATGTGAGGTCATTCCTTATCACCTCCTACTGGATCCTTCAACACATCTCAAATAAAGGGGATGTGAGAAATGGAACGCTGGGTGACAAGATGACTCCTTGAGCAAATGTCAGCATGTGGAAAAAGAAAGGAGTTTTTGGTCTGGAACTGGAAATGATCCCCAGAGAGCGCAGGGAGAGGTGACCCAAGAAGCCTTGGGAAAGAACGTGATGGCAGGCTGAATAGAGGGGGCGTGTGTAGCTTCACAGGGCTTTATTCTAGCCACAGGCAGGCTTCATAGGCAGTGGCCTTGAGAGCAAGGAAGATTAGGCACTTGCATCAATCTTGATTGGCTTTGGGTCTCGGAAAATTCAGAGTATTTTGAGCAGCATTCAAAGGTGGCATGTGAAGAAGAATGGGAAACAAACTGCGGGGCTTCACGTCAAGACTTGAAGCAACATGTGACTGGCAGCACCCAGAATGGAAGGCAGGAGGGCCAGCAACAACGATATCCTCAGCTGTGGGGCTGCGGGCCTGCGGGGCTGCGGGCCTGCGGGGCTGTGGGCCTGCGGGCCTGCGGGCCTCCTGGTTTGCTGGCCTGCTTTGGGCTTCCCCAGCTACTTTAATTCCAGGCTTTCCTGCTCTGTTCTTTGGGTTGAGGCCCCACCCACTGGGAGAGTCAACTGTTAGTGGCATCTGCAGGTGTAGCCTGACCTGAGGTCTTCGTTGAACAGGGTACTCTGAAAATGATTTTAAAATTAATAACGCCAGGCGGCCGGCCAGGGAGAGAAGAACTAGAGCTCTGACAAGTCATCACTTGGATTTTGGAGGTTGTGTATAAGCATTTTATTTAAATGTGGTGTTGATGTGGTTTGTCCTGTCTGGATATTTAAAAATGATTCACAGGTTCTGAACCAGCTATCTTCAAAAGGGTCATTATATTTGCTGATGCAGCTGTTTTTCTCCTTCTGATGAGACTGATGTTGCCTGGGTGGCAGTTTCAGTTTTTAGCCAAACACAAGAGCAATGAGGAAACGGAGGGGTTAACTCCGTAGCCCCAGACGCACGAGTGTGGTTCCTTTAGATGTTCACAGTTATTTAGTAATTCTCACTGACTGTTCTGTACGCTGGACTCCATTTCTCTCCCCCTCTCCCAGTGTTCTCAGGTTTATACAGTGTTTAGAATTGGTTCACCCCAGACTTAGCAGTAGAGTTGAAATACTGAGAGGGAGGATAAAGTTAAAAGATTGCTTCTGGTTGTTGGAGGAATCTGTTCCTTCCCTCCCATCGGAACAGAGTGTTATTTGCTGCTACCACCCTAGTCCTCAAGAGCAACTTCTTAGGACCTCTCCAACTCTGACCTCACTTTTTTTTTTTTTTTTGGTTTTAGGTGTTCTTTTCAGAAGGTCTGTTCTTTTTATTCTTGGAAATTCCAGACTTACATGTGACTCAACCAGTTGAACCATAGCAATTATAAAACTTTTCTCTTCAGGAATCAGTGGCTTCTCCAGATTTATTTTCCCATATTCCAGTAATGCTTTTAAAGTTCTTCAAAGCAACTAGCTTTAGTCCTGGCTGTTGAGGCTCAGTTGGTTGGGCATCGTCCCACAAGGCGAGGAGTCGCCGGTTCAATTCCTGGTCAGGGTGCATGCCTAGGTTGTGAATTTGGGCACAAATCCCTCAGATGTGTGGGACGTAGCTGATCAATGTTTCTCTTCCTCTCCTTATCCCTCCCTTCCCCCCATCTAAAAATAAATAAATAAAATCTTTTTAAAAAACAGCCAGTTTTAGAGTGAACCAGAGATTGAGATGAGATGAGGGTATTATTGAAATACGACAACAACCTTAGGGGGTAGGTGGTGTCATGATTATATCTTTTTTCCCTCACATGGAAACTGCCCAGAGATGTTAAATTGCTTTCCAGGATTACACAGCTAGGAAGTGGTAAAGGCTGGATTTGAACCCACATGGTTAGTTGTTTGCTGTCAGGAACTACCTTGGGACCTTATGGCTGTTTCCAGGGTATTGGAAGAGAATATTGGCTCAGAAGAGCAAGTATGTAGTATACTGGCTCTATACTTTTACCCTAGATATTGAACCTGGTGAGGGACTTGAGCAATGTGGCTTTCTATCTATCTGTCTATCTATCTATCTATCTATCTATCTATCTATCTATCTATGTTTTGAATGACAACTTGAGCTACAAACTCAGATATTAGTTGTGAAGATGTGTATCTTATCAATATGTTTTCCATTTTGGATGTGTAAAGTAGGGTACACTGAAGATATGTTTGAGGCTAGGTAGCACAAGAGGGTGAACATAGCTCTCATAACATGTCTATAAGACTTACTGAAAAAGCCTAAAAGACTCAGTACAATTTTTCTGGTACTCAGATCTCAAAACATAATTATGATTTAGTTTGGGAGGGATAGCAAAATGATTCATACCCTTAGGTGTGAAGTAGCACACCATCCACAACATTCAGGGCCTTCTTTTGTGTTTGTTAAATTTTGTGTTCAGTTGGTCTTTTGAAGTAAAATCCTCTGTCTTTGGTTGTAAATTACATGACTAAGTATGGCACAAGCTGGGTTGACTTATACATGTAGCAGCAGCTTTGCCCACTGACAGCGAGATTATGTTGGGCAACTTTGAAAAACCAAATATCATTGAAATACCAACCCAATTTTTACTCTACAATCACATCTTACACCGCGATAATATTACTGGGCTATAGCCCTCAAAGAAAATGGCTTTGATTATGCCATAGAATTATAAAAATCTCAGGATTGGAAGAGATTTTAAAAAGTAATTTCACCCAACCATTAAGTTAGCTTGTAGAATGTCCAGTGATGTTTGGAAGAGCAGATGGTCAAAACTTATTTTTCTTTGGTCCCAGCATTGGGGTTATGCATGGACATGAAATGTAGAAATGATTTAAGGAAATATCAGTGTAGTATTCTTTGGAAGCAGGGAATGTACCCTACTGAAACGAACAGAGGAAAAAAGATCCAACTGTTAGGTCAGGGGCCTTGGTGTCAAAAGCCCTTTCTGCTTCCTGTAGGATGACAGACATGGGGCCTAGAAAACGGGTCAGACGTAAGATAAGTTTAAAGTGGGGATATCTGTTTCATAAGCAGGATTGGTAGGGCTAGGCCAGCTCTGCAAAGTTTGTGGAGAGTGGCGTGGTCAGCGGAGAGTCGCGTGGCCTTTCTCAGTTCCACGCTTCTGTGGTTGTGTGACTTTGTGGCGGGGTCCCAGCGCCTCCCTTCCCCATGTCCCATATTTATCACATTGCTTCCCACACAGGCCCTTGTTGGGTTGAGTTGAAATGCTTCATAGCCGAGAGCCTGGTAAAGATAGTGAATAAGACAATGTGTATTCAGAGAAGGTAGAATACAATTAGAAATAAAGGAACTGGAAATATGTTATAATACTGAGCACTCGGGTGAACTGTGGGCAATCCGTGGGTTATATGGGGGCATTGGTAAGATAACTGCTTGTCATATCCGGATTCAGAAGTAACTCTCACTTGGATGTGCTGTTGAGATCGACTCTCCCTGGTGTTTCGGTGGTGTTGCTATTCATATTGCCTTCAAAGGGCATACAGTTCCTCAAGTTTTTGAAGGTCACTTCTGGGGAGCTTCTCTGATCTCCCAAGTCTGGAGGAGGCGTCCCTCCTGTGTCTCCATCTCCCTGTCATGCATTCACCTCCTTCTGTTGTGGTTACCTGTTTAATTTTTGGGTCCCCACTAGGCTATCGGCCTGGTGGGGTGGCAGCTGTGGCCATGTAGTTGGCAGAAACTCAGGTGTTTGTTGAATGAGCAGATCGAGCTTCATCCCCTTTTGGGAAACTAATACTGTCTTGATAAATGTGAACGTATAGTTGCTTCTCATTTAATACAAAATCATTGTGAAGACGTTAGCTTATCAAGAGGAGGAGGGGAGGATGGGAGTGAGAAAAATCAAGGAGGCAATGATTATAGCTGTCTTACATCCTTCCTGGAACAAAGCAGGCCACAAACAAAGGTAGTGATGATTCATTTTAACAACAACAAAAAATTCATGGCAGGGAAGTAAGTAGAGAATTCTCCAGTGCCTTTTGAAAGCAAGAGGTCCAGTTGTACTTGTCTAATGGCTGAATGTTGAAGGAAGAAAGGCAGCCCATGAATTAGAGCGCGTTGGCGAGCTCTGTGATTATGTGCGGTTGGGCGGCTCAGGAGCAGGATTTTAGAGCTGTAAGAAGAGAAGTCCTAGAGGAGCCCTGAGTTTACAGTTGGGCATCTGTGTTTTCATCTGGGAAAACTGGCCCTCACGTTGCATTATCCTTGTCTATGGGAATGTTTAACTTGGGCTTCAGAGAG